TAAATCGGTTTCTCGCGACGTGTTACCCCTATATCTGATAGAAAATTGACGAGTTTTGATGAAAGATTTCTGCTTAAAAGTTGGTGTGTTGGAAAGGGTTAATTGGCTGTACATAATACCATAGATAGATAGTACGTACTTATGAGTCCAAGCAAATGTCACGACGAATTTAATCTGTTTACTGCTTTGTTTGTTTTATGAGTGATTTTAACGTGCTGTGTTTCGGCTCGAGTCGTTGTTTTACATAGATTAGATACATTACTTTGCCATGGGTATTTTTCAGATGCTCAGGGCCTTGGCGAGCGCCTCTCCAACGCCCGTCGCGCTCGCCGGGTTCTGGCCCGTGATCAGCTTTCCAGACACGACGACCTTTTCGCCCCAGGGCTGGTCGGCCTTGACAAACTTTCCCCCGCTGGCCTTCTGCAGCGCGTCCTCGGGCAAGAAGGGCACCGCCTTGGTCAGGCCGACCTGCTCCTCCTCGGTGTTGGTAAAGGCCGTCACCTCCTTGCCGGCGACGAGCAGGCTGCCGTCGCTCAGCTTGACATTGTACAGCACGGCGGGCGCGTGGCACACGGCCGAGACAATCTTGCCCGCCTCCCAGAACTCCTTGATGAGCTGCTGCGACGTGGCGTCGTCGGCCAGGTCGAACATGGGCCCGTGGCCGCCCACGTAGAAGATGGCGTCAAAGTCGTTTGCCTTGCCGACAAAGTCGCCCAGCTTCTGCGTCGTCTTCCACACCTTTTCGTCGTTTTTGAGGAAGTCGACCGAGACGTCGTCCTTGGCCGCCTCGACCGACGAGGGGTCAAGCGGCGCCTCGCCGCCCTTGGGCGAGGCCACGGTGATGTTGGCCTTGTTGCGCAGGACGTGGTAGGGGTGCGCCAGCTCGGGGAGATACCAGCCCGTGGGCTTGCCCGTGTCGCCCAGCTGGTTGTGCGAAGTCAGGACGAAGAGGATGCTTGGCTTGGACATGGTGGCGGTGGGGTTTTGTATGTGGATGGTGGTAGAGGTCTGAGGCCGCAAGTCTAAAGTCGGAATTCTAAAGTCGGAATTCTAAAGTCGCAAGTCTAAAGTCTATGAAGGATCAGTAGTAAACGGCTTTTCAGCGAAGCTTCTGGCGTCATCTTGTATCGCTGGACAGTCGATGGATATTTACGCAGCCGTCGTGGGCGTGACGACATGCGGGGTAGCTTTTTGGGCCAGAAGGACCGACTGCGCCGACGTGCGACTTTTGGCCCGCCACAGCTGTGACGTCGAAGACCCACGCCGCCTCTTCAACACCACACACACGCCGGAATTGACGCTCAATCCGGCCCTCTCCGTCACGCCCGACACGCCACAAGCCCGTCCGATCGCTGCTTCATCCTGTTTGCCCATCGCCCATGCTCACAAAGTCGGCCATGTACGGCGAGAAAAGCGCGTCAGCCAGTCTTGGTTTCAACTCTCGTCCTCTCTCGGTAGCCACGAATTGCCTCGAAACCAACGCTTACCAGCAAAGACTATGGTCGCATATCAATTAGCGCCCAATCGTTCCTTGGAAACATACCTCGGATTGACTCCAACATGTTCACCAGCATACTTCACACCACCACCATCATCATCATCATCGTCATCACAAGCTATGCATCTCCAACACGTGACATGGACAAAGCCAGACCATGTCCCAGACTGCTGCACTCGTCCATTGACACGACCAGTAATGATGCAAACTGTCTTTTTAAAAAGCACCCATTTCACGCAATTGGAAGGCACAGGCAAGGAATTGGACCACCAATTCGTTATCCAAAGAATGTGCGTAGTCACCAAGTACACATGAGAAAAGTCTTGGCACACGTGACTGGGTTGCTCACAGCCTCGAAAACATCAATGCATCAAGGCCAAAAACTTCTCAGAGGAAATTGGCGGCTGCTCCAGGTCAAATATCTCCCGCACATGGTTTGCATATCCCTGCACCGGAAACGGATCTGCTTCAATCCATATCGGCCCTTTCCCCTCCGCTGTGCAGCAATCCTCTAACTGCACCTAGCATAGGCTGACATAGTATAGCTATCAAGTCTAGGTTGAAGTGTGCGCGCCACCTTCTATACGCTATACGGTCTTGTTTACGCGTTTCGTGCTATCATACCTGCACACGTCTTGGCCGCGCCGTGTCAGGCTCGGCTCATGGCGTACCCGCGTCGAGTAAATATGTAATCTGGTCATGCTTTACCTTGTACACAGACATGCAACTAGGTACATGGCTGGTGAGATGATTCGTCCAAGCGCGAACCTCCCATACGGGAATTACATACGCTTGCTTTGCCAACGAATGACTGCCATGATGAGGGGTATCCTTTCAGTGCCCTGTCAAGCAAGTATAAATACCAGCTGCCCGTCATACTTTGACGTGACGACTTGTTCACTTGATTTGTACTCGCAAATCGCCAACATGGCATCGCATGAGAACAAGACGGTCATCGTGACGGGCTGCACCAGCGGTATTGGCCTTGCAACCACCCTCCTCTTTCTCTCTCGCAAGGCACGTGTCTTCGGCATCGACATATCACCCTTCACACATGAACTCGACGCTGCGCAATCTGCATCCTTCGCCTTCCACCAGGCAGATATCTGTGCGCCTGGTGCATCTGAGACGGCAGTGACGGCCTGTCAGGCAAAGATTGGTCGTCAAATCCACGTTCTGGCCAATGTCGCTGGTGTCGCGGACAATTATGGCAGTGTAGACACACTCACAGATGCAGCGTGGGATCGTGTAATCGCGATCAACCTCACAGCGCCGGTCCGCTTGATGAGGGCTGTGATACCGATAATGAGGGAGCACAAGAGCGGCGCCATAGTAAACGTCGGCAGTCTATCCAGCAAGTGTGGTGCAACGGCTGGAGTGGCATACACAGCGAGTAAACACGGCATTGCCGGAGCGACCAAAAACGTTGCCTTCCGGTTCCGCCACGAAGGAATTACGTGCAACTGTGTGCTGCCTGGCGGTAAGGAATTTGGTCCATGACAACAACAACAACAACAACAACAACAACAATAACACACTGAAGGTTGATTTGGCTAACCGCATGCTAGTGGTCGAGACCAACATCCAGCAATCAATCAAAGCTGAGACGTGCGATCATGATGCGTTGAAATTGCTAAGGCATGTATCCATCATCTCATTGCACATGAAGAAACTAATGCTGTGGCCGCAGTCCGATACATAACTTGCAATTTGCTGGTAACCAACTCCGTATAGAGCAAGCAATGCGCCCCAGCGATATTGCTGAAGCTATCGTATTTCTTTCATCTCATCATGCAAAAGCAATCAACGGCCTGATGATGTCCGTGGACACTGGCTTATGTACGCTAGGATAGAGCAATGCTGCTCGAAGCACGCCAACCTATATACAGTACAACTGCTAAGCAATGAGTTTCTCGGCCCTCATGGCCTTTTCGCAGTCCTCAAAGTCTTTTATGCTCAACATGGAACGCAATGTATTCGTCTCCCATTGATTCACCAAGTTATTCCTCTCCTTTTCAACCAGCTGGTCGACCCGCCTGTAAGCGAAGGCGGATGAGGGCGGAAAAGTAAAGTCTTCTGCGTTCATGGAAAAGGCAGAACGCAGCCAGGCATCTTCCATCTGTTCGGCAATGGAAGCAGTCGACGGCGGTGGCTGTTGGGCGTCTGAAGCAGGCCGTTTTGCAGCCACTTGTTGTTCCCTCCATCTGTCACCGGGCAGCATTTTCGGGTACCAATATTCAAACGCGGCCACCAGAGGCGCCCACTCGCCATCAAGCTTTCGGCCCTGTGACAAGTCGTGCGAGAGAAAAAGCAGAAAATTTTTGGGGAGATCTCGGAAGCGCCAGCCAGCGTAGATTTTGGATGACTGCGGCACGCGCCAAGACATGGGTTGCAGGAGCGCAGCATCACGCTCTCGTCGACGTGGCTCAGGCCTGGGCTCAACCTTACCCACCAATTCCTTTTGGAAATCTTCATAAGCCTGGTCTATGCCGCCGTGAAGTTCCCATTCGCCGTTTTGCTTGAGTCTGATGAGGTATTCACCGGATACCTCGCCAATGGTACGGCCCATGTACTCGCCAGAAGCGAAGCGGAAATGCTCTGGTTCTGGGCTCCACGACGACGCTGACGTTCGGGGCGACACGGGCGGCGATAGTGGCTTTTGCTTCTCCGCTTCTATGGGCCTGATAGAGGCTAGAAAGATGTTTCGTTGTCTTGCGCGACCTGCATCGTTTGGTTGCACACGCGGCTGCGTCGTGTCTCGGTCGGGTTCGGGAGGAGTCATGTCGCCGGGCCTGGTAGAACAGGCACTTTCGAGCCGAACACCACCATCTGTCTGGTACCCATCATAGATATCTGACACAACAGATCCAGAGCACACCTCGTCGGGCCTCTCTTCTTGGGCAACGGCCGCCGTTGACTTTTTGGTGGCATTAAGAGGTTTTTCTTGCCGGGCACGTTCCTCCTTGGTGCTGTTCAACGACGACACCAGCATACGGACAGCATCAGTGCTGAGTCGTTTTCTTGGACGGTTCTCAGGGGTGGCTTCGGCGAAGGCTCTTCGCTTTGGTGGGCCAGGCCTGACCTCGGTGGGAGTTGGATCGAAATGCCTGCCCCAACATCAGCTCCTTGGATGCATGCGACTGTGACCAAAGAGAGGCATACTGGCATTCGGAAGCATCGGTCAGTGTTAGGCGTCCCTTCTCGACCGGATCATGTGGGTATTTGTTCGTCTGCCATTCATTCCACGCGGCACCGGCACCGGCGCTGGTATAGGGGTTGCTGCAAGACGTTAGACACGACACGACATGCAAGGACACATTGAGACGAAGCTACCATTTGTTCGCCATGGCCAGGAAATCCCCGAGGCAGTTATCTTCAAGGGCAACGGGGTTTTCAGAGTGGGAGTCGTGGGCTGTGGACGCACGCTGGAGTGGATGCGTGCTCCTCCCCCCTATGTAATATTACTATGTTGGGGGAAGACGCGCGGGACAACCGAAGTCCGTCCAACCCCTGCAATCGTTAAAGCTCAACGCTCTCCAAGTGCGAAGTAGCGGCTCGACTACCCTTGCAGCCCTGATGCAAACCGTCGCCGTCGCTGCCATCCCACTCAATTTCCTCCGTGGTATCACGCCAGTGTACACCGTGATATCACTTGTATTTTGCTCTACTAACAAGCGGTCAGCGGCAAACACGTTGCATGCGCTTGGTGGGCCGAGATAATTGGATACAACATATCCATGATTGGTACATTTTGTCCCACTGGTACACTTAGACCAATGCTAAGAAGAAGCGCTTATTAAGCACTAAGTGCAGTACTTAGCGTTGCTTTGTTCTAGATTTGCGGTACATGTAGCAATACTAAGAACAAAGAAAAAACTATTTAGACCTCTGCTATTCAAAGAATATCTCTGTTAATTGCTTATTAGTTGGGCTAAATACGATGGAGCTCACAGTCTAGGTTGAAATGTTTATTGGTTTACTTTCGCCTAGCATCGGGTGACATTCTGACCCTGGCTGCAGTTGAAACTAATCACATGTTGCAACAGGGTCGACCCCATGTTGGTAGAAGTAATGTTTTCACATGCATCTCGGCACATTGTCTGTGAAAGTGGTACGAGTTATTCATGAGTAATGGTATTCGCTAAAGCTTAGCAGTGTCATTTTGTCCGTCTTGACTCTTGCTCCCCCCTGACATGTCGCTTCCATACTTGATGTACAGGATTTACGTTGACACAATCAATGATACTTATACCCAGTTCAAGCCGAGCCTGCTGCATTGCTCGTAGTATCTTATGTTCCTACAAATGGCTGTTCGTTTACGTTTGTTCTGCACCACGTGTTGTGCTGTACTGTTGCACTATTACGCTGTTACATTATCATTAGCAAATAGGAATGTCGATCTTTGCAATATGATAGACCAAACCAACACACAGAATGCTAACATCTTAAAATAGACAGGATAAGATGTAGTAGAGTTTCTTAGACCCAGTCAGCTCGTCTTCCTGTTCGCAAGAGAAGCCTCTAAGATGTATTTTAAATTACGGCTGAAGTTGATACTAGTGCTTCCACCCAAATGATGGTATTCCTAGTTTCAGACTAAGGTTGTGGTTGGCTCATGTATCATTGACCTAGAGATACTGAGTTTACTGACTAAGTGTTTGGTAGCAATGTAACTACTGTGATACTTCGAACTAAGACTAGATTGGTCTTAGTAGATTTTATATTGCGTTCTAGTCTGACTAGATGTATATACTTAATTTAAGGAAAGCTTAACGCTGTTTGTATTACTCCATTGTACCCTTGTGCTAGAACCAAAAATAAGTCTCAATATCAGAGAGAAGGCATGCATAAACAAGCTGGTAGCTTTCTTGGGTTATTATTTCAGGCTCTTACATTTTCTCCACCTGCAGCTAGGAAGATATCCTGAACACACTTGTGTAGCTGATCCTATGTAATTGTATTTTCCAGGTATAGTATTTAGTGCTGAATAAGAGAGGGTGAAGAGAAATTTTCCGCCATTTGAATCTTGAGTTTACAGGTATCATAGCTCCACATCCGCTTATCACTAACATGAAAGTGTGGCATTAACATAGTTTTTCTACAGTGTAAGTATCAGGCAGTTTTAGGTAGCGGGTTATGCGAGAGATAAGTAGTAGCTAGTACAACATGCACAAACTTGCGCAAATCTATCTTGTTTGAACTTCTCATACGACGAGAGTTGTGGAATATTAAAACATTAAGATTGCGGCAGCTATACGATACTGCGGCACAGAGAGAAGACAGTAAAATCTCGTCGTAGTATGAATCATGTCGCGATTAGTACCTTAGGTTCATAAGTTGATTCGCAGTGATTCATGATTAGGTGGGTCAGCTTCAGCACCTCTATATATTTTGATAGTGTTGAGCCTCCTAGAGGTAAGAGTCATCTAATCAATTCTCTCACAATCTGCTCACTTATCAGGCGCTCAACTCCCACAACTCTTCAACAAGCAATCAGTAGATAGGCAAGAACAAAAAGATCAGCGTAGGATCACTGAAAGGAGCTGGTTGTTCTCATTAGCGTACAATAGCTATTTTGCTCTTACTAGACCCGAAGCAATCATGTGCGTACTGAGAGACTGTAATACATATCTTAATAGTCCTACTCAAAACTGATGAGAAGATACAGAAGACAGTTGGGTAGTAAAAAGACAAGGAAATCAGGGAGAGTATACATGTAGAGAATATAGAGTATTTCGAGGGACAAATGTCTTAATCTGGTATTAACTGCAATTCAACTCATGTCTGATCTATTGTAGATGCCTTTGATGTCTACTAGGAGACAAAATTTAAATACTGGTTGAAGTCTATGATTGTAACAATAGACTGGAACGTTACTATGTAATCAAAACACATGTACTCTACCACGCGCGAAATCTGTTAGGTTGGCAAGTTGAAATCACTGATAGAAAAAAAGGAAAAGAGTAACCTTGATACATACCTATGAAGACGCCCTTGTACAGAAAATCTCTAGAGCAATTATATCATTAGTCTCGTCCTAGGTAATAAGGATGTGCAAAGAATAAGAGTTAGGATTACTGTAGAACCCTTTTTTACTCTTCGACACAGCTGCTAGCTAAATAGGGCTGATGGATAACAAGGCAGGAAAAATCTACCATTAATTAAGCGAAAGATTTGATACAAATGTAAACATGCAGTTCCAACGTTGAAAATCGATCAAATAAGTGGATAAATGGAGTGTCGTCTAGTAACTTGAAGAAACAGCCTTAGTAAGAGGGTGGAGTGCATGTGCTTATTGGCCATGGATATCTTTCGTTTTACGAGAGCTGTTGTTACTAGACAGTTCACAGATATCAAGAAACTACATCGCATGCCTTGATATGTGACAACTCAGATTTTGAGTTGAGTATCAGATGTTTTTCTCATCCTAGCAACTATCTTGACAGTGGAAAAGCCAATTATCAAAAAACAAACATACAAGAATCAAACACATCCTCCCGTAGCATTGGAAGCTTGAATTCCATGATTTGGGAGAGTTCCTTCCAGTCTATTTTACACCCTGCATCACTGGCTCGTTCTCCATGCTCGAGGCTGTCGAGTTTTTATCTCCCTCAACCCTGCCGGGCTTCGCAAAAGCGGCACCTGGCAAGTTGAAGGGGTTGTTGATTCTAGTGGTCATGATATACAATAGGGTCAACCCTGTAATCACAACTTCATCTCTCAGTCTTTCGTCAATGGCCTCTTCGAACTTTGCAAAATAAATATTGCCAACCTCCTTGAGGGCCCAAAAATTGACACTGAACTTTGCAATAGGCTCCTGGGTATCGGAATTGATGCATACAAAATTCCACAGTTTCAAAGTGCAGTCGGCAATCCAGGAGACGGGGAGGCCGCCCAGGGCGTGCGAGAGATAATTGTACTGTGTTTTCCAGCGCTTCAGTGGCTTCAGGATGACTTCTTGGCCGTGGATGATGCAGTCGCCGCTGATGGAAAAGGTGTTGATGCTGCCTTTGCCAATGTATGTTTTGTCTGAAGCGCGCTCGTATCGCAACTGCGGCTTTGTAGGGCGACAGTGCATGACGTAGAGGGGTAAGACGGAGCCATTGGGGCGTTTGGCGGAAATCTCATTGCGGAATTTGGTCCAGAGAAAGTTGACCTGGAGGTGCAGGCCATGTGACGCCAACGGCTTTGTGGGCGATTGTGGTTCGTTGTCTGATGCCAAAGGCATGTCATGGGGGGATTCGGCGCTCGTGGACATGATGAGAGGATTGATTTTCAGCGACAGGCGGAAACGTCAATTGTCAGTGACCAGCTATAAGTATTTGGACAGCCGGATCATGGCGTCAACGTATGTCATCCATATGCTCGCTCAGCCACGAGCTGTGTTGATGCCTGGGCGCCTTACAGAGGTAAAGATCTCGGCCATGATACTGTCCGTTTACAGACTGGCGGCTGCTAGATGGGAGCTGACAGCGTATTTTGCACTTGGCCAATAGCAAGCCGGGTCATCAGCACACAACTGAGCTAGAAGAAGATGCGGAAGCACCGAAGATCATCATTGGAAGAAAGCGTGTTCGCAAGGCTGACTGCCGTGCGCCTTGTGCGAGCATTCGTAATACTGGAGTGGGTGGGAGAAGGGAATGCCTTGTTGCTGCTGCGACTCTGGACAGAAAGGGGCAGCCCCGCTTCCTTAGGCGACATGACGTCACACGCATATTCCCAGCACTGCCAGTCCCGGTAGCTCAACCCAACCAACCCCCTCCCAACACACTCACAGCCACCGACCACAACCAACACAGCTGCACTCGTGTACACGCCCAGCCTTTGCGACCGGTTGTTGAAACAAAGTCGACCGAAACTCTCTTTGCCATGGCGAGGTTGCGCCGCTACATGGCCTTGGGCGCGCCTATTACACACACTGCTTGTAGCTCTGCCGACGCAGCCTGGTGTGCAGACGCATAGGAGCTGGAACCGCCATGCACGGACAAAGCCCATCATCGCCTATATCCAGACAGCCAGACACGGCTGCAATTTTGCGTCGACGCCTCCCCGATGGGCGAGTTATTGGCAGGCTTGGGACCTGCCCTGGTGCAGCGAAGAAAGAAGCTTCCACTCGGGGATTTTGCAACTCGTCATGGTGCCGAGATGGCCGAAGGGGCAGACAGCAGCAGCAGCAGCTCAAGAGCGTCAAGCTTCGGCTCTTTGTATGTTTGACTTGGTAGCCGCGGCGCTGCTCAAAGCATGATTGATGGTGGGGGGTGACAAGTCTTTTACCGCCTGGACAACTCGGCTATCCCACATGACAGTGCAGGAGGATGCTGTCTGTCTCCCTGTCTCGGAGCCGATATCCACATGACAGTGTGAAAAGACAAACGAAGTGGGATGTTAGCCACTGCTTCAGACGGTTTCCCACGTCGGGTCGCAGCTCTCCAGCCACTGCCTTTGGCCCAAACACGCCAACCAGGCCTCGTACCACAGATTGCCCTGGATTGCTAGAACGGCTTGGCTCGACTCCCGGCCGCGCGGAGAATGCACATGCACATGTGTGTGTGTGTGTCTGCACGGGGGAGGGCAGGATGACGCTGCTCGCCACGACGGCCGAGAGAAAGAGTAAAGTGCAAGCGTGGATCGGACTCAACAGGAATCATGTCGCATCGTTGGTCAGGCTGTTATCGCGCGTGGCCGGCCCCGAGAGGGATGGGCTGGGCTGAGGGCCATCATGTCCCCCGCGCCCCAGAGGGGGGACGAATGCAGATGCACATTATGCTGGAGAGCGCGCGGCCCCATGGCTTCTGCACCGATCGTCTGCGCTCGCGCTCGGGGAGATAGATACCACGATCTGCACGGCGGCTTTGTTATTGCAATGCCTGGGGGCGCGAGGCAATGCACACAACCATGACTGGCAGGCGCTTCATCGCCAAGGCCAGGTCGGGCGCGGCTAGACCCGACTAGGCGCGGCGGACTTGGCGGCCTTGGCGGCGTAACTCTGCACAGCGCCTCCCAATTTCCGCCAGGGTCAAGAGTCTATCGAATGTGCAGTGGTCGAGACGCCTGTCCCGGAATGTGATTGACGGGCCTGGGCTGGGCAGGCCGGGCAGTTCGCCTGCGCATAGTTTCACACTCACCAGGTCCACGTGTCTGAAATGCGGTGGCTGTCTCTCGACTATTGTCGTTTCCTGCACGGCCACAGGTGTAACATGACAGGGTTCTAAACAGGCCTCCAGGCGGAAAGTCCCACACGACGCGTTCGAAGCTAGCGCTGCGGGCGTACTTGGCGCCATTCGCCCGATATCATTCACTGCTTGGCTTCGGCTGCAAGCCTCCTGAAGGCGGGAAAGGCTGCTCGGCCAAGGGCGTCCTGGCGGCTGCTGTTTCAAGTCGGCGTGGTGCATGGCGTCCGTGACGAAGTCAAAGATATCAAGTAGCCAGGCGCGGCACCCTAGAGCACCTGGAAGTCGAGGCTGTCATCCCGACCATCATTGCGTTTGCCATCCCTCCGCTCCGTCCCGGAAATCCCTCATTCTCCATATCTTTTGTACTTGCTTATATTCGTATTAATCGTCTGTTGTAAATACGGCTGGTCTGCTATTTACATCTTGTCTCCTTCGCTGGTCGTTTTTTCTTTGCTCTTACACACACACTTACACACACACACACACACACACAAACTCACCCCCTCAACGCATGCATTCTCGTTAGACCCTCTTCCTCTTCTTCCGTCTTTTCCGCTTTTCCGGCCGTGCCACCATGCCGAACCTCGACGTCAGCGAGCTCAACATTGTCATCGCCGTTCTCGGTACGTTTGCATGGCACTGCCATTATATCTCTGATTCATTCACTCACTGACACTGCAACACAGGCGCTTTCATTGTTTGCTATGGGTTCATTTCTGTCAAGATCAAGCAGGTGTGGTATCTTGGTGAGGCATGTAAGTCAACGGCTATTCGGCACACTGGCGTGCTTCCTTTGAGAGAAAAAAAACTCTGCTCACATTTTGCAGTGCCCGCCGTCATGGTCGGTATCATTCTGGGCCCGATAGCTGCGAGGTTTCTCGATGCAGAGAAATGGGGTTCTGCTGCTCAGGGGCAGCAAGAGGCCATCACACTGGTAAGCATAAAAAAAATAACACAGCAACTAAAATGGGCCATTGGACGAAAGCAGCTGACATGGATGCAGGGTCTCTGCCGCATTGTCATCGGTGTCCAACTAGTCATCGCGGGCTTTCAGCTTCCCGCCAAGTATCAGCAGACCCGATGGAAGGAGATGGCAATTTGTCTTCTTCCCGTCATGACCGTCATGTGGATCTGCACAAGTCTGTGCATTTTGGTCACTGTTCCTAAGCTGTCATTCCTGGCTGCGCTCGTCATTGGATCATGCGTCACCTGCACGGATCCCATTTTGTCTCAGGCCGTCGCCAAGGGTCCCTTTGCCGACAAATTCGTCCCTCGTGCGCTGCGAGAGATCATCTCATCCGAAGCAGGTGCCAACGATGGTTTTGGCTTCCCCTTCCTTCTGCTAGCCACTTACCTGATCCGCCATGCTGACCTCGAAGGCGTCAAGTTCAAGGAGGGCTTTACCGAGGGCGCCAAGGAGATTGCCTATCGCGCAGTGCACATGCTCTCCAAGCGTGAGGAAGGCGTTGGCCGTCTTGGAGGAGGCGTCCCCACGGCCATGGAGCAGTGGATCGTCGAGGGATGGCTGTACATCATCGTCATGTCGATTGTCATTGGTGCGCTGCTTGGCGCCGTCAGCATGCTCGCCATCAGGTTCGGCCTTCGCAAGAAGTGGATTGACTCGGAGAGTCTTCTGCTCTGGCCCATGGCGCTTGGTCTCTTCATCATTGGCGTCTGCGGTATTCTCGGCACTGACGATCTCCTTGCTTGCTTTGTCGCGGGTAACGTTATGAACTGGGACGGCCTCTACCTCGAGGAGACTGAGAAGCGCCACGATGAAGTCAACAGCTGTTTCGACGTCATCCTCAACTTTGGTGGCTTCATGTACATTGGTACCATTATCCCCTGGGGAGAGTTCCAGCTTCCCGATGTTACTGGCATCACTGTTGGCAGGCTCCTGATCCTCGGCTTCCTTGTTCTTATCTTCCGCCGCATCCCCGCCATCTTCATGATGTACAAGATTATGCCCGATGTATGCAAGGACTGGAAGGAGGCGCTGTTCATGGGCTACTTTGGACCCATTGGTGAGTATTCTACGTGTACATTTACACACAGCCACGAAGCAAGCCACTAACATGGGCAATAGGTATCGGAGCCGTCTTCTATGTTGAGCACACTCGTCACCTGTTCCCCAAGCCTGGCGAAGCCAGCACTGAAGAGGAAGAGAACCTTGTGGCAGCCATGATCCCGGTCGTCTACTTCCTCGTCATCTTCTCCATTGTGGTTCACGGACTCTCCATCCCCGCCCTCGATGCCTTTTACGCTTACAAGAAGATCCCACCCATCTCGGAGTCAGAGCCGGCCGAGATTCGCTCGCTCTCGGTGCATGAGGCGCTGCCCAACAACGCGCGCATGGACTCGAAGCGCAACTCTGTCTTTGTGCACAACCGTTTCTCAAGGCCCGTGTCTACGAGCGTCGGACCGGAGCTATACCGATGGAACAACCAGGTGCGCGACAGCGATGCCACGTTCCGGTCAGCATCGCAACCGACGGATATTGACTACGCGTCCAAGCTCCAAAGCATTCGATTTGCCGAGGACTATGCACACGAAAAGGCCAACCTGGGTCGTTAAGACGATCACTTGCCCCGAGAGCGGAGGGGTACGTGTGTGTACGTGTGTATGTGTGTGTGGGGAGGACGGATGATTGGCCCAGGCCCATATTCGGTTGGGTGCTGTGTCTGTGGAAGGAGGCCCAGGGGCTCGTTTCACGGCATTGCGCGCAGGGGCGTCGAATGGGCATATCCATTCCTTTTTGTAGAGGTGTATGATTAGCACGGATGCATGGGCTTTCTTTCTTTGTCATGCCCATGTCCATCATTACCATCATAGTGGTCACTATGGATTACGCGTTATGTCACTCGTTTTAGACGCTGAACAAAGTAAAGTCGTGTTTCTGCCAAGTGTACCAAGGTAGCAGCCCTCGACGCCCTTGTCTTGGGCATTACGTCCTGTTCCTGGGCTACCTTTGCAACGCCCTCTGCACATTATTGCACCTGTGTATGCATGCAAGCATGGTGTGCATTACTGTAGAGGGCGAGTCTGTTTAGCTAAAAAAAAAGAAGAAGAAGAAGAGACAAAGCACAAGACATGGTGACGAGAGCCAGTGGAATAAGGAAAGTTTGTGGTGGAGGCAAGCAGGGCATGAATAGAGTTTGGCCACCGGGCTATGTCAAAGATATGGAGGTTTCTTTTGGCCACTTTTTGTTTGCTGCTTTTTCTTGCATGTCGATTCAACAAGAGCCCCCCTCGTTTCCTGTCTCTCTGTGTTCAACCAAGCCAAAGGCAAACATGACATGGTGAGAGTACACGTACATGTAACGCGAGCATGAAGAGGAACAGGTAAAAGGCATGGCGGATGGCGGGTAAGCAAATGCCCAGCGGCAAGGCAAGTCGGGATATGTTTCCCGCCCACACGCCGTCTGCCATTCTTCTGGGGCAGACGGCATGTCGTTGCCAGACGAAACGCGCCAAGCGCGCCACAGTTGGGGCGCCAAGACGCAGACGGTGCCGAGTTATCCGCGCTGGCCTGTCCGCTCCCTATCGTTTGGCGGGCCTGGCGCGCCCTCTCCACTCGCCTTGGCTTGGCTTGGTGCTCACCCTCTCAGCACTCCTCGCCTAGGGGTGTATTCTCCGCGGCCTCTGTTCAAAACGGTGAGTGTTTCAGATGGATAAGGTTGAAAGTCTGCGTGTCTACAAGTACTGTATGTATGTTGCGGAGGCGGGGGAGCGGACGCAGGCGGGGGGGGGGGGTAGCTTATTCCACAGGCGCGCAGGCCAGCTTGGTGAGGCGGGGTGGGGAGGGAGGCCCGTGACGGTGGGCCGCGCTGCCACTGTCACTGCCACTGCCACTGCCACGGCCACGGCCCTATTTAACGGCGGTTTCTGCTAGCTGCCCTGCGCTCCGCTCCGCCCACATGTCAGCACAGCGGAAGCGCGTGCTCTCTATGTACATGTGTGTGTGTGTGCGCGTGTGTATGGCGGAAGTCGACGAATCGGCCAGGGGAGCGAGCAGCGTGGGATGCAAAGACACGATAGCCCCTCGCCCACCTTGGACAGCCGCCTGTTCTCGGGCCCCCAATCCTTCTCTTTTTTTGGTCGCTTTGGACACATGTGGGCGGGCTTGGCGGTAAGGCTTGCATCGGGCTGTGTGGGGGAGGAAGGGGGCTTGGCACACTAGTCCGATCTGGCCTAGTCGCACCCCCCCCCTCTCGCCCGATGCAGACAACAGTCACCACTATCAACACTCGCCAACTCTATTTATCATCTACGCCAAATGTCGCACATGCCCATGGCTTCCCTTGCCAAACCGCCTGTTTTGTCCTTGCGTTTGGAACTGACAAATCAACAGGCTTGGTGAACTGTCGTCGCAGGCCAAAAAGCCCATTGACTCGCGCGCTCAACGACGCCTTGCGACGTGGCTGGCGCCTCCCACACGGCCAAGCAGTCCTCGACATGGGCGGCTGCTTCACAACGTAGCATGCGAAGACGTAGATTGATTGGACCCAGCTGAGCGTCCCTGTTCGGAGAAATTGGCAAAAGTATAATGCAAGCAGCAAGCATTGCGACAAGCCCCGCGACCATGCCGTGCCTCTTCCCTGCACAGTTTGCCGGGCATGCCAGCACAGATGCGCCAATCACGTGCCAGAACAACGGCAGCTCACTCTCAGCTCTGCTTCCATGCCCTACGACATGCCTCCAGTCTCCGCATCACACCCATTGTCGCCCAAGCTCTGCTCACTCATATACATCCATAGGGTATCCCAGCAAGCCGAAGAAACTGCCTTCGACACTACGTCATCCGGACCGAAACCAAATATGCCCTTCATCACCAAGAATTTACACACAGGCTCATCGCCTGTGTGACGGCTCCACGGCAGATAGCTCGGCCAAGATGCCCTCTGCAGGCACCTCTGCCACACTTCCACCGTTTCTCGCATACTTTTCCAACACGGCTGTTTCGGCGTGCATCTCCGCCGGCGCCTCCGAGCCATACGCACTAGGTGCCATGTCCGACGAATTCGCTGGCGCATACGAGTTCCCCTGATTCCTCCTCCTTCTCCACACCAAAAGTCCCACGATGCCCAAGAGAGCGAGCCCCCCAACAACTCCACCCACGATGCCCCCTATCGCCCCGCCCGATAACCCCGAGTCGCTCTTCTCAACAACACTCGATGTGACCGATGGAGTAGCCACTGGCGCTCCAGTACTACTACTCAATACCAACGTGCTAGAAGCTGTCGACGACGAGGTGGCGGTAGTCGATGTCGCGGCGGTAGTCGACGTCAGCTTTTGCAGAGCATCCAAGCTGACTGGGTACGACGAAGCCGAAGGCTGAGCCAATGAGAGAGAGTGCGCAGTTTGGTTCACAGCAGTTGCATTGAGCTTAGCAAGTGGATCACTCAAGCCGCTCCAGCAAATATTAATCTGGTCTGCTGTCTCGGTGCACACCTCACTGCATCCAGTATTAGCTGCAAACCTACAGATTGCATAGCCAACACGCGCCACCAACTCACCTCTCCTGCAAACAGCAAAACGCATTGTTACCCGAGCCACACAGACGCTGGTTACCTCCGGGTTTCTTGTCACTACTCCCCTGGCAGCCTTGACTGGGTTTCCAACACACGGCATCCTCGGAGCCAGCAATACAGCAGTAGTAATCCTGCACTCTATCGTCAAAGGCGCAGACAGACGGAGGCGAGCATTCAAATGGCCAGCCGGGGCACGTCAAAAGCCTGCTCGCGTTTCCACCGTTGCCCGCGAACATGAACTTGGTAAACGCGGCGCGTGCTGGCGAAGCGGTCAAGAAGACCAGGAAAGCGGTCGAGACTGTGTCTCCGCGCATATTGGAAAATGTATGAATGGTGTGGCTCCAGAGGCAGTGGGTGCGAGGCCTTTCAGACACGGGCGTGACGACTGACGACGTTGGGAAACATGGTTGCAGTCTCCATGGCAAAACTGGGTCGACTAAGGAAGGGGGGATATCAGGCCTCCCGCTCTCTCCCAAGGCGGCTATGCCAATGTCGCTCAGGCTTGTGTGCGGGAAATAACACAATGGGAACCAATGGTGTTGATCTGGTGCTATTTCAACCTTGCGCTACTGGTAGGCTGTCATGGTATTAGGGGAAAGATTGCTGATCACTACCACGTAGAGATTAAGCCAAGCTTAGAAACGAAGGAGCTCGGAATTTTTTCAGTCTTCGGCCCTACTCCATCGTGTACCAGAACCTTAACAACGCTAGTGCATACCTATTATAGAAAAGAAAATAAGCACTATAGTGTAGTAGATCTATGCACTACAAAATATTCAACTTCCATGAATATTATAACTCATGCTTACAATTTAAAAAAATGAACATAGATATCTTGGTGTATAGAGTTTTCCAAATCAATTTATATTAAAATAGATATCATTTAATACTGACAGCGGAGTTGAAATCAGATTACAACTGCTGATGATATTCAAATAGAAAAGTAAGATAGAAGAGGATAGAAAGAAGTTAGGTTTGTCGATATATAATCAGAAGTGATACCCTTCCTTCTTCGTGTAAAACGATAAAATCATAAAGAAATTAGTAGGTGCGCATTGTTCTTTGGTGTAAGGGTGGGAACTTGAAAAAAAATACAATGTCCTTGGTAAGCATAGCATTTTGGCTTAGAGAGGCGCTGGCACAGTGGCGCTACATGGAACTAAAGCAATAGTTGTCAAGTATAGTTGTTAAGTATAGTTGTTAAGTATAGTTGTGAAGTATATCCCACATGTTGGACATGTATGAGGCACTCGTGCTGGTTTGGAAAAGACATGTTTGGTCGCGGCTTGGCTTCGCAATTTACCTTGACGTCGTTCAACGTCTTTGATATACTGGCATTTATTTTTTAGACATGCAAATGCAAATATTAACCCCTGGAGCGTTTCTACGGCCACGTATCGCAGTGTCCCTTGATAATTGGCTCCCCGTATTATGCACCAAGAAAAATAATCTCGAGTCAGGCATACTTATTCCTCGCCACATAGACTTGGCTTCTCAAGCCTATATATATATCCATGCTTCTGTCTCATGCCATGGCCTTCCCGCATCCGCCACCCATGGTATGCATAGTCAACTAGCCTCTTTCTCCTTCTAAATAAACCTGAGACTAGCCCCAAGACTTGATTGAGGTTTCGGCGCGTGTCAACTTGTCAATGCTGTTCTTTGGTGTGGCGCTTCTGGAAGACGAAGGATAAAATGCACAACTATGACAAAAAATGAAGTGGAATTTGGAATCATTGACATTGTTGACGTTTGATGCCGATGCAGAGGCGGCGTGGTGGGAGGGCTGTCATGTCGAGGGATTCAAGGTACGGTGGCGGTGGCTCCGACGGTTGAGGAGTGACAGGTATCCTGCATAGTCTTGTCATGGGCATGCATCAACAACACACCTTGGCATGAACAAAGGCGAATAGATATCATGAACCAAGTGCAAAAATATACTTGTCAAGCATCATGCGTCCATGGTGACTGGGATACATGGTTGGGACTAGTTTTGTAGACGCAATCTCTCAGAATTCATTCTATACTCTGCCGACAAAGTCGACTGTGATTCTTATCGTATATAATGGTCCAAAGATGGCTGTATCTTGACCAGATAGTGTAAGAAAAAAAAACATGCTCAATCATTTCTACTAAGCAATGGATTCTCTCTGCCTACAATGATTGCCATGGACATAGTCTTCCAACGGGAGAACTTGGCGGCTGCAGCCCCACCTCGCCTGACTCCGGATATGTCCCCATCTTTACTGTACCTAGGGTACGCAACGACCCGCGTAGAAGCCATCACATGCTGAGCATGGCAAGTGCTGTTCACCAACACGTGTCGTGTTATGCTACAAGTAGGTCATCTGTACAGGTAAATGAGGGGTGGAACAGAAACTTGCCGACCCTAACCTCATCCCCGCACATGCAGCCGTATACACATGTTAGCGTATCCGACGCTCGGTTATTATTGTAGCGAGCACCATCAGAGCCGCATCGGATGCATATCATGTTCCGAGCATGTCGTTGTTGGGATATGGATAAGACGTAGGATCTACTTTGTCGAGAGCAAAATCCATTCTGCAGTTTCAAGTCCGCAATTTTGGTCCATCAATGGATAATACACCCAACCCACCATGTCGAGGAAACAGCTTACCGTGCTTCACATCGGTGACGATATTGTGTACAATCCGGATTACTACAAACAATTTGCATTGAAATTCAACGTTATCCAGCCTCGTGCCCAAGATCGGGAGAGGGCAAGTTTCATCGCCGCGCTCAAAGAAGGAAGATGGGGTGATTTCCACGCTGTTTTCCGCCCCTTCTGGAACTCTGGAGGCGAAATGGGAAAATGGGATCAAGAGCTGGTTCCGCATCTGCCAAGTACATGTCGAATCTTTGCTTCGGCTGGCGCGGGCTACGACTGGGCGGATATCCCGACATTGTCCAGACACGGTACGAGGCCGCGTGATATACTCCAAGGCGTTGATCTCGAACTGACCTTGAAAAATCCAGGCATCACGTACTGCAATGGTGCACGCGCATCGTCAGAAGCCGTAGCAGACATGGCCATATGGCATATTCTGTCCGTCTTCCGCAACCTCATGTGGAGCGCCGAAGCCGCCAAATCGGGCGACGTGGAGCAGTGGAAATCCGCACACAAGCACCAACAGGACACGGCATACAACCCCAGAGGTCGCTCGCTAGGCATAATCGGTCTGGGAAACATTGGATATACCATTGCACAAAAGGCATGGCTGGGCTTTGGCATGCGCATCCTGTACCATGACGTTGTGAGGAAGCCGGAAGAGCACGAGGGCGCGGTGAAGGCGACATTCTATGAGCATCTGGGAGATATGCTTGCCGAAGCAGACTGCACAGTGCTGGCTACCCCGTTCCTGGGCGAGAAAGTCATCACGGCCGAACGCCTGGCGCAGTTCAAGAAAGGCAGCCGCTTCGTCAACATTGCGCGCGGCACTCTGGTCGATGAAAATGCTCTTGTCGACGCACTCAAGAGCGGACACGTCTTCGCCGCTGGGCTCGACGTGCATGAAAACGAACCATTTGTTCATGCCGACTTCTGTAAGATGCGCAATGTGAGCTTGACATGTCATAATGCGGGAGGTGCCTGGGACACGGCTGCTGGGTTTGAGAAACTCGCCATGGAGAACATTGAAGCGTTTTTCTTCAACGGCGGAGCGCTGACACCGGTCAATGCTCATCTGGTTGATGCGCGTGTGGAGTAGAAGAGAGAGGAGAGGAAAGGGGAGGAAGGGGAAGAGGAGGAAACGAGATGATGTCATACCCCGTGTTCACGCGTTGAGGCACGCGTTGAGGCCGACCCATGACCATGTCCAACCCATCGCCCGAACACGCAATGCACAGCCATCTCTTCATCCCGGACATCTCGATTCACGTCCATTTCATGATCAAAGTGGAGTCAGAAAAAAGGCAAACCCTACAGTGCGCGGCCCACATGCTGCAGACGTGATTCATCATGACATCAACTCGAAATGCCTAGTTAGTGGGTACCGTGATGCTATGATGGCATTGGGTGAGCAGCACACAACAAGCGCAGTATAGCCCGACGAGAATAAAACCTCGCTGTTGTTCGAGTAGAGCACTCCATCATCAACCCATTCTCCTTCAACTCTGCGTCTTTGCTCCAGATAGCCTGATTCACTCTCCCCAACCAGCCCACTAGTTCCAACACACATCACCCAAAATGCCTCGCATGGTCGCCCCCCCTCCATCTGGCGAGTTCCAGATTGTCCTCAGCAAGCCTTTTACCGGTGAGTACTACCACGATCATGATGAGGGGCAGAAAGAGGTTCAAGACAAAAAGAACGACTTGCTAACAACCCAATCCAGGCGCCCCAACACATATGATTGAAGTCATTGGCGAGCCCAACCGCCCAGCCAGCATCCGCATGTCCAACTACAATGGCAGCAACAAGTCTTCGGAGAAAAAGGGCGACGTTCCCCAGTAAGTCTCTTCTCCCATGCATCCATGCACACAGACGACTGACGTACTCTTCTCTTTCTCTAGGGATGACGTCCGCGAACTCATGTCCCTCGTCTCCACCCTCCGTGGCTTTCCCTCGCACCCCTCAAAGGACATCTACGGCCTCGACACAAAGGTCGACTTCAACACCATGGAGATCCAGTGGGGCAACCTCGACGACGATGCCGCCATGCAGGGCGGCGAGGTGGCCGCCGAGCAAAAGGATGAGTTCAAGCGCATTGCTGATAGCATTGAAGCCCTCGCGAGACAGTTTGCTAAGCAGGATTCGCCCGTCTAAAGACCAAAAAAAAAGAACCGGGCGTCTTATTGGATGGGTACCATTGGCGTTTGTTCTAATCATGACATAACGACTGAATGAATTAAGTAAAAAAGTCAAGAATCAAAAACCAATACAAAGCCATTTGATGATTTCATTCAAGCTACTGGGAAAAGTAGACTTGTGCTGATGAGTTCAACCGAGTCATGGACATGCTGCATAAAATGGAACCCACTCATATATTTGCATGAACACGGCCAATCGTCCACTTTCTCAAGGCAGGCAAACAAACATCAGTCATTATACTCCGTTTGGAACACACATCGTCAGAAAGATCCAGCGCCTGAACTGGCTCTACTTAAAGCAAACAACCATTATTCAAATCATATCAACATGCAATCAGTTAAATCTTGTACACAATGCCACCAGAGTACATGACCTTGTTGCGCTCACTGAGCGCCTCAAGCGCCTTCTCCGCCTCGCCTCGTCCAAACGGCTCCCTTCCACTACCACCACCCAGCCTCGCGTTTACAGCCGCCACAAGAGGCTCCACGTCTGCTGCGTCGTTGGCAAACAACGGTCCATCAATCAGCTGGCCAAGCGCCGTCTGGAACACTTGTAGACGTGCAGCCGTGATATCCTGTGACTCTTGAGACTCGCTCTGTGTGGCCGGAAGTTGCGACTCGGGCTGTGAAGACGCGGCGCTGACTTGAGATGAAGCGCCCCCGCGGGACGACTGTGTGCGCGTTGTTGTACGTTGCGCCCTTGGCGTAACGTTGTAGAGATCATCGTTTGCCTCTTCGTCGTCCTCACCAGCTTCAGCCGCAGGGGTGCGTGTTGTGCCTGTCCGTTGGCTTCTAGTCGACGGCCCACCCGTCCGTCGAGACTGTGTGGCTTCTGCTTCATCGCCGTCTTCGTCCTCACCACCCGATGATTCTTCGTCCGTAGACATGGCGTCTGGGTCGCGCGCTGTGCGTCTTCGCTTGCGACGATCATCCTCAACGACTTCTTTGAACAGAGCAAAGCGTAGAATCTGCTCTGCGACATCGGCATCCTTGCGCTCAACCCGCTTCGATAGACGCGCTTTTGCGTGCGCAGTCGAAAGACGGATAAGCGTCTCCAGAGTACGTGCAGTGATGGGAGAAGTGCGACGGGTGCCTGCATCAAGCTCGTCATTGCGCAGCGCAGAGTAGACGCTCACAATGTGTTCTGCAGCACCTTTGGTGAGGATTGGCTTCTCGCGCTTCGCGTACTGGATGTACTTCTTGATAAACGGAATACTGAGGACCTCGGTTCTTCGTGAAGAGCCCCGCCCCATGGTGATGGTGACGCCAGAGTGAAGCATGGGGTTGAACTTTTCGTACACATCTGTTGGGCGGTTGGCATCAGTATCCGTCTCGAGACCAACACCCAGAAGCTGGGAACCCTCTTCGCGAACAGGCGCACCCTCCTCCGTGCCAGGCTGACGGTACCTGTGCATGCGGAGAACGTGTTCAGAGACCTGTCTGTCTCGCGCATCCTCGATGTCGTCCGTAACGACGAAGAGCAAATCAAAACGCGAAAGGAGAGAGTCTGGTAGAGCAATGTTGCGATGCGGGTCCTTGTGGATATCGTACTGTCCGAAAATGGGGTTGGCAGCAGCAACCACACTGCAGCGGGCGTTGAGCGACGTGTGGATACCGGCTTTGGCAATGGTAACAGTCTGCTGTTCCATGACTTCGTGAATCGCGACTCGATCGACGTCGGACATCTTGTCGAATTCATCGATACAGACGACACCACGATCGGCGAGGACCATGGCACCAGCCTCTAGGCGTCGCTCGCCCGTTTCTTTGTCGGAGGTGACGGCCGCCGTGAGACCAACACCGGACGATCCACGACCAGTGGTAGCAATAGCGAGAGGAGCCGTGTTCAAGACGAACCGAAGCAGCTGCGACTTGGCTGTGGAAGGGTCACCCACCATGAGAATGTTGATGTCTCCTCTCAAATGGGTCCCGTTGTCCAGGTTCTTTTCTTGCCCTCCAAGAAGTAGCAGTAGGATTGCCTTTTTGATGTAGTCGTGTCCATATATAGACGGCGCGAGCGATTGTGATAGAAGCTCGAATACACGCTTGTTCTTTGCAATTTTGTTGATGTTGCGGATATCCGTATCAGTAATGTTGACCTGGGCAATGCCTCCACCCGACTTGGAAGACAACAGGATGATGTTGTTTGCGAGGATCAGTGTGCGGAAAGTCGAGCTACCTGCTCCAGCGTTGCGGTTACCAAGCGAGCGATAGGTGCCAACAAGCTGGATGCGGTCACCGGGCTTGACGCGGTCTACCAGGTCGTCGTCCAGAATGACATCGACGGAGCGCGGCAACTGCCCCGCCGGAGCGCGCTCAGGCATCTCTTGTATGGATATGGTCTGGTGGTCGCGGTAGATGCAGTATCCGTACTCGGTGACGAGGGGATTGCCCTCGTCATCCTCGGTCGGGTATACGCTCGAGCTTGCGGCGCCCGTTGTCATGGTCTGGTCTCTGTACTCTCTCGCGTGGAATTTTTGCTTGGCCTCGTTGTAATGCACGCTTTTGACCACCTTTGGGCGGACGAGCGACGTCTTGGTCACGATGCCCTCGAGCGAAACCATGTGGTTGAGCTGGTTGGAGCTGAGCGTACGGGGGTTGCACGAGAACTCGCCGAAGCTGCCAATGTATGCGCAATAATACACGACATCCTCGGCCGTCTCTGACTTTGGTCGGTCTGTGAAGGTGCGGACGACGTCCTTGAGGGCGCGGTCGAAGGCCTCTGCAAACTCAAAGGGCTGGTTCAGGAGGCCGTCGGCGAGTTCCCGGTTGTGGGAGCGGATTTCGTCGATGCTGACCTGGAGGCTATCAGTATGCGCGTTTTCTTCCATGGGCGCTCGCCACCCACGGTAAGTCTTCGTTGTCCTCTGTTGAGCATCACCAGAATATCTGGTCGGTAGCTGGAGCGGTCAGCACCCGCATCTCTTGTGCGCCAGCCATTGCGGCATACCTTCGCCTCGAGACGTCGTCTGCACCCAGATTAGCACGAGGCCCACATCGAGACGCTATTGAGCATACCCGGATCAAGAAACTCCTGCGCAAGTCGCACGCGGCGGCGCACTTCCTCATCCCTAATGACTTCGGCCATGTTGTTATTGCTGTGCTTCAGAGATGACGCAGGTGCAGCAGGCGGGGGCCGCAGAAAAAAAACGAGAGGCGGGCACAGAGCAGGGCGGCGGGCGTGGCAAAGGGCGAGGCTGTCGGGAAGGAGTGTATTGTTTGTCCTGTTACCCCGGTGAAGTTGCGAGGGGCAGATTCGGCCCTGGAAAGCGCGATCGCGTCCACGCTAGTCCGCTTCCGTCACGCGTGTCGGTGCCATTAACACCCTCTTCCAGTTTAGCCCTTGACATCCTTTTCCTCCAACCTCACTCACGCACACACACGCCCAAGTCCTGCCTGCAGCTTGTTTGCCGGCGCCGAACAATCAGTTTCGAGACAGAGCAGAATCAGCGTTAGATGCACAATGCCATATCCACCCCACACTGTGGGTTTGGTTGGACAGCAGCATCTCCTGGCCCATCTCCTGGCCCATCTCCTGGCCCATCTCCTGGCCCATCTCCTGGCCCATCTCCTCCGTCCACTTTTCTCGATTCACTGCAACTTTCAGTCTTCATTCAAAGAGATGGAACGTATGCTAGCCGCGCCGTCAGCACTAACCAGCACTGGGCGCTTATGATGCAGTACACTGCGATGCTTAACGCCGACCTGCTAACCCCGCTATGACCGTCTGTTCCCTTTGCTGCATCCTGACGTATACAGTTGACAGGCTACTTAAGTCGCCCAGCATGCCTGTGGACATCCTCGTATAAAATTAAATCTCTCTCGTACATCCCCCGACGCATTGCTCTGCTGTCCATGTCATGGCACCCCGCGTATTCCTCATCACTGGCTGTTCAACTGGCTTCGGTGAAGAGCTCGTCAAGGTCGTCCTTGAAAAGGGTGATTACGTCGTCGCTACCGCAAGGAATTCATCCAAGCTCGCTTTTGACAGGGCCAATGACGCCAACAGCTTATTCGCCGATCTCGACGTGACGAAACAGGATTCAATCGACAAGGCATTTGATGCAGCAGTCAAAAAATTCAACCGTGTTGATGTAGTCGTCAACAACGCTGGATACGGCTTGATGGGCCCATTCGAGACGCTTTCAGAGAACCAGATCAGGCAGCAGATGGATATCAACTTTTTCGGCTTGATCAATGTAACGAGAAAGGCCATGGAGACTATGCGCGACCTGAAGACTGGAGGCGTCATTCAGCAGGTCACATCAATTGGCGGTCAGATTGGTCAGTATAGTACCTCCTGCTCGGATGGGCTGCGCCTGATTGCGCACAGGTGTTCCCAATTTCTCCATTTACTGTGCTAGCAAATGGGCCGTTGAGGGCTTCACCGAAGCCATCTCACAAGAAGTAAAACCAGAGTGGGGGATCAAGTTTACGTGCATCGAGCCTGGGTAAGTCTTGGTAACACCAAAATGCCAGTGGGACATGAACTGATTTTGCGTCTTCGCCTCTTCAGCGGCTTCCGAACCGATTGGTCTGGTCGCAGCATGGACTTTGGCCATATATCACACCCAGCATACGCACACGTTGACCCGAGGAAGCTAGCCCAAGCGCGAGACGGCAACCAACCAGGAGGCAAGTCGTCAGGTAGAATCATGCTTGTTCGATTGCTCACAAATCTGTAGATCCGGCAAAGGCTGCCAAGGTCTTCTACGACCTAGCAGTCATGGACGACCCACCCCTCCGATGCATTGTCGGTACTGATGCCTACAGTCGAATGACAAACAAGTTAGAGACGTATCGTGAGAGCGTTAATAGGTTCGAGAAGTGGAGCAACAGCACAGATGTCGATGGCTACAAAGCGCCAAGCTGAACATTGGTAGAGTAACGAAGCAGAGGATCACAAACCAATCACAAAATCCGGGTTAGACCAACAAATCACGTCGACATTATGCTTGAACACGGCTCTCGTCGAATGTTGAAATCTGTCCAAACACCTTCACTGCGCCCTCGTGCTTGTTTCAAATTCCGCCTATCACACTGATATTGCAACAGCAACAGCCAATTGCGCGCCATTGAGAAGCATCAGGGGACCAGAATACGCCTTTAGAGCTACAGATTTATGGTTTGGTGCTAGCCAGTCCGAAAATGGACCTTTGGCTGCAAGGCAGCTTATGGTCGCACATGTACGCTCTTGTGGCCGTCGCCACGTTGCGCCCGATCGACAGGATCAGCTTAAGTCCATGGTTCGTATCAATGTGCGAATACAGCATAGCTTCACGAAAAGCAGTGCCGTTGCCAAGAATTTGTAATGACAGAATCTGTCATAACAGCATATCGGAACCAGCGCAGTACGTCACCTCGCTCTGTAGTCAACCAAATGTGGTAATGACTAACCGCGACGAGTTGTGCGACGTCTCACCGAAAGCTTCGGTACGATTTCAGTCCAGCAAATATGAGGCACGTGGCAAACATCACGCAGCAGTACAGGAATAAGAATGAACACGGTCACTGACATCACCGGTACAGAGGGAGCGGTGAAGGTGCCGATGATATGGCGCAGTCCTTGAAGTAGCAGCACTTCACGCGTCCACAGCGAGCACATGACACTTGTTATTTATGAATTGGCCCAGAAATCAATTCTTGGTATTGAATATGAACAGGTCTTCGACCACGTCAGACCCCCCCTTGTAGAGACAGCAGCCCCGGATGGATTGCCACGGAAGTTCTAGCTTCGCCTTGCCATTTATCACTGGATGCAATTTTTTAAGAGGCTATAGAAGGCCTCCTGACTTTCTTTGATCCAAGTGTATACGCTGCATAATGGGCATGAGCGTCATCAAACATGAGCGGACTGGTCCAGAGGTTCGCACAAGGCTACGCCCAACCGACTCGCATGCTCATTGCACAGGCCTTGCAGCTAACCCTGGTCACGAGAACCAAAGTTGCTACAACAGCATCCACTGCCGTTTACATGGAGAGGGCCTACCGGCAACCTCGGCGTCAGCCGCTAGGTGTTGTCGCAAACAAGAGCTGAAGGCCCAATACCTACGCATGACCCCTGACGTATGCCTCTTTCTGCTTGCATATAAACTGAGGTTGACTTTTGGACTTTTTTTGTACTTTAACTGCTATTCACCAAGTCGATAATCCGGGCAACGCAAAATCATGGCCGGCTTCCAAAGTAGGGTTCGAGACTCTAGCGTTGCAAGAGTGACTACTGCTCTTCTTACGGCATTCGTCATTACTAGCACTACCTTTGTACCATTCGTTATCGAGAGCACAGTTGCAAGTCCGATTGCAACTGCAGATCCAAGAGCTTACGCAAAACCAGAAGCACAACCTGTACCAAACGCCCAAGCAGGACCTCCACTGCTAGATGGCCTCTATCCAGATCCGGAACCATGTCGTGGAAACTGTAGCTGGATCCATGATCCCAGTATATGGTATGAAGACGGGACTTATTGGCGCTTCTCAACTAGTGGCAATATTGCCATTGCTACGGCGCCCTCGCTTGGTGGGCCATGGCGCTATCGAGGTGCCTTGTTACACCATGGAACTAGTATATTTGTCAGTAACGAACAAGACATCTGGGTAAGTTTGCGTCCACTATGATTGGGTCACCAAGAACCCTTCTCACGGTTATCGACAGGCGCCATCAGTCACGAAGCGAGGCGACACATACTACTGTCACTACTCGGTCTCGCAAATGGGTTTCCAAAACTCATCCATTGGTGTGGCTACCTCATTCTCGCTCGAACCAGGCAGCTGGCAAGACCATGGCAGCATCGGCTTACCTCTCTCGGACAGATACAACCTCATTGACCCGTTTGTGTACCAGGAAACACCAGATAGCCCCATCTACTTCAGCTTTGGGTCCTTCTGGCATGACATATTCCAGGTAGAACTCTTCCCGTACGACGACATGAAAGCATTTGGAGGCTGGGCTGAGCAAAACAACCGCATCACCAACATTATCCGAAACGATACGGTGGGCGCGCTGGTAGCCGAAGGCGCCGTCATGCACAAGGAGAAGGGGTTTTACTACATGTTCTACAGCGTTGGCCATTGTTGCCGTACGCCCGAGTCGGGCCTTGTCCCCGACGACCAGGTTTACCATATTGTTGTATGCCGATCGAACACACCAAAAGGTCCTTTTTACGACCGCCAAGGCAAGAGCTGTCTCGAGGAAAATGGCGGTACGACCATTCTGGCTAGCCATGGCGATATCTATGCTCCGGGTGGGCAGGGCGTGATGGTGCAACCTGAGGATGGCAGGACGGTCATGTATTACCACTATGGCAAGTCAAGGATGATAGGCGATGCATTTGGCCATGGCTAACGATTCTAGTCCGCCCGAGCGTCGGCTACGAAGCTGATCAGTTTTTCTTCGGGTACAACTACCTCGACTGGGAGGATGGCTGGCCTGTTGTAGTTGCAGCCTAGGTACAGGGTACTTTGTAGGAGTGGCTTTGCCAGCTTTCTGAGCGTGACCTTGTGCGCCTTGATGATGCATCTCAGCGGAAAGTATGAGCGCGTCTCTTCCTTGGTACTTTGCATGTGTGATTGGATTGAGCGGGGCGTCGGGTATCTGTATTGGTTTAGGGGCGGCGGCCCTGAAACTGATGGCTTTGAGCGAATGACTTCATGGCTTTTGAATTTTGAATGGATTTGGGTGGATGAGGGGGTGCTGAAGGCGTTCGGCGGCTCTACGGTTGATTGTGCAGGAATGGCCTTGGCAAATCTATTTTCTGTGAGTTTTATTTTACAAATGCAGTGCAATTGTGCGGTTATTTTCTTCGTCTAACATCAATACGCCGTGGTTGTCCCGCAAATTCCAGTACAGGTAAGAAATACTAGGACGGAGACATGGGCTGCGACGAGTAGTGTATGAGGGCGAGGCTTTGACACACGCCACGCAACCCAGTTCAAGCCTGGTGGCAGATGATTGTCAACACAGTTGCAAGCCCAGTCGAGGAAATTGAACAGGTGGGGTGTGGTGTTCATGTATCCGGGAAATGGCGGACCAGAATCTTGGAGGCGGCAGTGTGAGGCCATCAGGGTGGATCTTGTGGACGATAGGGGGCCGCCACCAGCAAGACGCATTCTCGACTTTCTCACCCCTTTCTTGTCGGAGCCATGCGTATCGACTCTGTGGTCGTAAGCGGTGCAGTGGGGGGACCAAGCTGGTGAAAGAAAGGAACGGATAGCCTTAGTGGCAGGATGGGCGATGGTTCGCAGCGGCGCAGGCCTAGCGCACCAAAACGGGCCTAGCGCACCAAAACAAGACTAGCATACCAAAACAGGCCTAGCGAGAAATGACGTCAGTACGTGCTGCTGTTGCGGCTGCCCACCACCATCCCTGCCACCTGACGCGACGGTGAAGTTGCCTGCCTGAAATGCTGCAGAACAATCTCAATTCAGGTTTATCGTCCACCCATGCGCGCCACTACAAGACGCCCGCCTGCTCCACGGCCCTCCTCTGCTCTGCCACACATACACACCCGCCTCACTCCATAGCTTCAGCCTCAGCCTCCCCTCCCCCTCCTCCGCCCCAGCCCCAGCACCAGCCTCCACTGCCACCGCTGCCGTTGCTCCCTCACGCCACCGCTGGCCGCTGATCGCTGCGCACGGCCGGCACCATGTCCAAAGAAAAGGGCCTTAAGAAGATTTTTCATCCTTTTGACCACCGCCTCTCGGAAAAGGTCGAGGAGATCGAGGAGAAGCTCGAGCACACCAAGCTGAGAGGCGTCCACATCAAAGCTGTCCACATCAAGCACAAGCTGGGCAAGTTCACCAACCTCTTCAATGCCAACCATCGCCATGACGAGGAGCACGAGAAGGAGACAGATGCCAAGCGGAGCAAGATTGCCGAAAGCCACCGCTTCCAAAGCTTTGCGCCCGAGAGAGACGGCAACCTGGTCAAATGGTATGTCGATGGTCGAGATTACTTCTGGGCTGTTGCCGAGGCCCTGGAGAAGGCCCAGGAGACCATCTACATCGCGGATTGGTGGCTTAGCCCAGAGCTGTTCTTGAAGCGCCCACCTTTCTACAACCAGCAATACAGGCTGGATCAGGTGCTCAAGCGACGCGCCCAGGCAGGCGTCAAGATTTACATTTCCGTATACAAGGAGGTAGGCAAAACCACCACCGCTGTGCGTGTGGCTGCTGACGTTTTGCCAGGTTTCGGCTGCCCTCACCTGCAACAGCCAGCATACCAAGAAGGCCCTCATGGGCCTCATCAAAGAGGGCGAACCCGGCTATGGAAATATCAAGGTAATGCGACACCCCGACCACAATGTCTTTGAGAATGCTGCAGACATGACATTCTACTGGGCGCACCACGAGAAGTTCATCGTCATTGATTACGCCATGGCCTTTATTGGCGGCCTGGATCTGTGCTACGGTCGCTGGGACGAGAAACAGCACCCGCTGTCCGACGCCCATCCTTCGGGTGTACAGAACCAAATCTTTCCCGGTCAAGACTACAATAACAACCGCATAATGGATTTCCAAAGCGTCGACGACTGGAAGTCGAACAAGCTGAACAAGCTCGAGTATGGCCGCATGCCATGGCACGACGTTGCCATGGGAATCATAGGACCGGCAATCTACGACATTGCCGAGCACTTTGTCCTGCGATGGAACTTTGTCAAGCGTGAAAAGTACAAGCGTGATGAACGATATGACTGGCTTACCATGGAAGGACGTGAAGGCGCCGACGAAGACCTGATTGGAGTCCAACGGCCCAAGTTCCCTGTCGGTGATTATATACATCATCCCATAACGCAACTGAGCAGCAAGAACCTCGAAAACCGTGGAACCGTCCATGCGCAACTGGTGAGAAGCAGTGCAGACTGGAGCATGGGCATTGAGCCCCATGAGCAGAGCATTCAAAATGCCTACTGTGAGATTATCCGAAACGCCCAGCACTTTGTATACATTGAGAACCAGTTCTTCATCACAGCTACTGGCAGGCATGATGAGAGCCCAGTTCACAACCAGATTGGAGCTGCGATAGTTGACGCCATTGTAAAGGCTGCCAAGGAAGAGCGTCACTTCCGGATCATAATTCTCATCCCGGCCATCCCTGGTTTTGCGGGTGACTTGCGAGATCAGGCGGCGGCCGGAACACGAGCGATTATGGACTACCAATTCAAGAGCATCTGTAGAGGCGACGAAAGCATTTTCGGCAAGGTCAAAGCTGCCGGTGTTGACCCTGAAAAGTACATTTTCTTCTTCAACCTCCGCTCGTATGATCGCATCAACGTAACCCCGAAGATCAAGGAGCTCGAGAAGAAGTCCGGCATGACCTACATGGAGATGGAGACTGCCGAAATCGATGAGCTTGAAGCGCCGGCAGAGGAGGGCGGTGAAGAGAAACGACGAGCAGCAGCTGAAATGAGAAAGAAGTATATGGACGACGCTGAGGACATCGGAAAAGGTGACCAGGGTGGTATCATCGATCCGGACTCCATCGCCGACGATGCAATGCTCACAGAGAAGAAGCCCAGTGATGAAGAATGGGCGGGTGAGCCCGAGAGCGAAAAGGAATGCTACTTCCAGGAAGAGCTCTATATCCATGCCAAGCTCTGCATTGTCGATGACAAAATTGTAATCTGCGGCTCCTCCAACATCAACGACCGCTCGCAGTTGGGTTTCCACGATTCAGAACTTTCTGTTGTCCTACAAGACACTGATGAGATTGATACCCAAATGGACGGCAAGCCATACAAGGCGGCTCGTCTCGCGCACGAGCTCCGTAGTAGCTTGTGGCGTGAGCATCTGGGTCTTCTCCCACCCCAGAGCCTCAACGCTTCCGACGACCCCAACGCGCAGCCACCAGGCGAAAACTCGAGAAACGACACAATGCCGGGTCCTGAAGCCGAATTTGTCTCTGACCCAATGTGTCCCAAGCTCTGGGACGAATGGTGCAAGCGTGCCACAACGAATACAGAGGTCTTCAGAGATCTTTTCCACGCCGATCCAGACGACAATATCCTCACCTTTGATGACTATGACTCTTTTACACCAAACCCCAACTCGGATAAAGAGCACAAGCAGGGCCACTTGTACGACATGGACCGGCCCGTGGCAGAGGTCAGGAAGGAGCTGGATCGCATTAGAGGGCATCTGGTGTGGATGCAGTTGAAGTTCTTGGAGAATGCGGATATGGCTGAGCGGGGACTACAAGTCAACTCTTTTACAGAGAGTGTGTATACATGAGGGGCTGGCGTTGGTATGGTAAGTGAGGGTTTGCGATGGGAGTGGTCTTGTTGCGAAGTTAATGTTCTGCATGATTGATGGTTAATGGTTCTTGTATGATTCCCTTGGTCTTTACGGCGTATTTTTATTATTACAATGCAGCGAATGCACGACGTTACGTTATTTATTCCAGTAATTTCGAACGCCTGATGGATAATATGAATTGGAAATGGCGTGAATTTGTTGCGGAGCAATGAGAATATATGATTACGATTGTTAAGTTTGAGTCTCACGTGAACGAGATTTTTCTCTTCTTTACCTATACCTCTCCTCTGCCTCGCGGTGCTATACATAGCTACTCCATACATAGCATCCGCAGACAGCAAATCAAGCTTCTCGCCTAATTGAGGCTGGCCATATGCTTAGCATGATATACCAATACGCCGGACCCAGTCAGGAAACCCCTGTTCACGTCAAGGGGCACATGGTCGTTTTCCCACGTTGCGTCTTTTTTTCGTTTTTGCCATTTCTTGTTTTTTTCCGTGATTCCCATGCGATACATGACGTGTGTGATATCACAAGCGAGTATTATATTAGCAGAGCACGAGTGCGAGGGGAAGATGAAGATGGTACTGTAGAGCAGGAGTTGGGCTAGGGACGGAATGACGTCACTACTCACTCAACCCAATGAACAAAAGATTGCGGCTATACTTGTGCCTGGACAACACATGCGCACCAGCATTAGAAAGACAGGGATGACATCTTAGGCTGCGAGATGTGCAGGAATGGTGTTCTTGTAAGCGTTTAGCTATGATAAGTATGCTAGCTGCTTTCGTGACTTGAAAAACCTACTTGAGGGGCAGAACCCCATAGATACATAAAAGGGAGTCAATAAAAATTAGAATTGATATTCGAAACATGCGGGATTACTACTATAAGCTTTTGATCATGTTTTAAGCATGATGTTTCTTTTGACGACATTTTCTCTCATGCCTATGGATCTGCAGGCCCTGCACGTGACCCGAGTTCACTTGCTTTCTCATTGTGTAAGGAGACACTACCATATGCGGCACGGGCCCCTCTGTTTGCGGACTTCCTTGGTTGCCTATTCGCTGGTGTTGACTACGCTGAAGCACGGATAATGACCCTGACTTGGGTTCCAGCTCGGACGCAAAACTGATCGTGTATCATGTTGGACAGGCACCCCGCGATCCATGGCTTTACCAGATGCTTGTTCTATACCGTTTTGTGAATGTCTAGTAAGTCCATGTCATTGTTTCACCTTGACAGATTTCATGCAAAAAAATCAAGAAAAAAGATATCAACATGTATACGAATGCGAGGATCTCAAAGGTGAGTTATAGTACACTAGGGAACAAAGGCAGACAGTTGCATCGAGATTCCGAATAGGCTGGGTATCATAAAAGGAATAAGCCTAAAAAGAGCAAACGACCCAGGACCCACAAAAGTGGAAATCCTTGTTGCCGACAAAGTGACGTGGTGGTGCGGGATCAGCTGAGGTTAGCTGTCGACTATGACTGTGTTGTCTCCACTGACCCGTGCAGCATTTTCTTTTCCCCTGGCCTTGGTCTTCTTGCTGTTTCCATTACTAACAGCTGTGGTGCTGATGGCTCTTTTTCGCCTAGCACTTGCAGTGGAAGACGGCGAGTCGTCTGTTGAATCCTTTGCCAAGTCCTCAGGCAAAAACTTGCCGCTGCCGGTGGCTTCTCGGACGAGAGATGTGTAGAGTTCGTGGACAGCCAGTTGGGCTGCGCTCGAATCCTGTGACGATTCTTGATCAGAGAATGATGCATCTGGGAGCGTGTCTGGTGCGACGATTTTAAGACGCTCGGTGCCGAGATGGAAGCTGCTGCAGGATATGCGAGATACGTGGACTTTGGGATGCGACAGGTCGAGAGCGAGGTGCTGATTCAGATATTTGGTCAAGGCGGCAGTGAAGGGCTTGCTGTGGGTATCTTTCAGCAGCCGACCACGACGGACAAATTCAGCGACATCTTCGGCCGCGATGGAGACTTGGATGTGTTTCAAAAGGCTCGTGGCAGTAGGGAATGCCAGCTGAATGTGCAACTGCTTTATGACATGCTGGATCGACAGGGTAGAGCTGCTTGCGGTGAGATGAGTGAAAAAGGTCTCGAGAGCCGATGTAAGAAAAGGCGACGGGAGCCTCAATGGGGCCACATGGGCATCGAAGGTGGTTCGCAGGTAGCTGAAGAAGATGTCGCGTATGGGCGCGGGCATCTTGACGAGCAACAGCGGAAGCGCGGTGAAGCCGATGGGCGAGGACGTGGCATCCGGGTCGCGCAGCAGGAGCGCATTGTACTGCTGCTTGTCGTAGTCGAGGGTGACATGGAGGCCGCGAGCTCGGTCTGGCGTCACGTCGGGGGCGACTCGCGGTGCGCCCGGGTCTTCGGACTGCAGGCGGCGGTCAATCCAGGCATCCTCGTCGCCAAGCACCTCCCAGCGGCAGTCGTCGAGCGGGCCCAGGGTTGCCGTCTCCTGGGCGGCGGCAAAGTCGACCTGGACGCCGCGCACGTTGTCGCCTTTGAGCTGGTCCTTGAGGCGCTTGGCATGGGTGCGCGTGGCGTCGTCGACGAGGAGGGGCGCGTCGCCATGGTGCAGCGGGGATAGGCGGTACAGGCTGTATGTCCTGTTGAGCAGTGGATACGGGGCGACATATGCCATGATGTCAGCCGCCGGGCATGGATGGGGAGGGGAGTCTTTGGGCGACTATTTGGGCGCTGGGGGGAGGGGGGCGGCAACAGACGCGTCGGCAGAGACAGGCGGGCGGGTGGGCATGACGCGGCGTGTTGCTGTTGCTGTTGCTGCTATTGTTGTCGCTGCTGATGCTGCGGTGTAAATGTATGTATGTATGTATGTGTGCGTGTGTTTGTGTTGTTGCTGTGGTGTTGGTGTTGATGATGACGGCGGCGACGGCGGCGGCGGACATGGCGGCGGCCCGTGCATCCCGCCCACCAAAACAACTTTCCTGTTAGTGCCCCGCTGTTTGGCGCCATCGAGAAACTTCTGTGTGGTTCCTTTTGCGCTGTCGGCCACTCCTGTCCGCCCATACCAGCGCTTTCTTGAAATTTTGCTGCAGGTGCACGCCCTCGCCCACGCCTATCCCTCGCTGCTACTCCAACCACCAACTCCCCCCCTCAAATATACCCTTATACCCCCCTCCAAACACGCCCCTCCCCCTCCACAGCGATATCACCGCCCAACACAACCCCGCCATCAGATACCAGCCATGTCTGTCGTAGGAGTCGACCTGGGTACCCTCAACAGCGTTATTGCTGTTGCGCGGAATCGAGGTGTCGATGTCGTAAGTGCCTCCCCTCCCGCCCATGGTTTCGTCGCTCACAGGCTGACTCACTGTCCAGATCGCAAATGAGGTTTCCAACCGCGCGACACCGTAAGCACCCTCGCCCCCGGCAACAATACACACACACAGACGACTGACGACGGATACAGATCGCTAGTGGGCTTCGGCCCCAAGAGCAGATACATTGGCGAGATGGCCAAGAACCAAGAAATCTCCAACCTCAAAAACACCGTCTCTTCGTTCGTGCGTCTCGCCGGCCGCTCGCTCCAAGATCCAGATGTCCAGGTGGAGCAGGACTTTGTGTCGGCCCAGCTCGTCGACATGGACGGCCAGGTCGGCGCAGAAGTCACATACCTGGGCAAGAAGGAGCGATTCACCGCCACACAAATCACCGCCATGCACCTCACAAAAATGCGGGCCACAGCCTCTGCCGAGCTCAAGCTGCCCGTAAACGACATTGTCCTCAGCTGCCCCGTGTGGTACACGGACGCCCAGCGTCGCGCCATCCTCGACGCTGCAGAGATTGCCGGCCTCAAGTGCCTGAGGCTGATCAACGACAACACCGCAGTCGCCCTCGGCTGGGGTATCCCCAAGCTCGACCTGCCCGGCCCAGAGGAGAAGCCGCGGAGAGTCGTCTTTGTCAACATTGGCCACAGCAACTACACAGCCACTGTGGTCGAGTTCCGAAAAGGCGAACTGGCCGTCAAGTCGAGCGCCTGGGACCGTCACTTTGGTGGCCGCTACATTGACAAGGCCCTTGTCGAGCACTTTGCCAAGGAGTTCAAGGAAAAGTACAAGATCGACGTCATGGAGAACGGCAAGGCGCGCTTCCGTCTGGCTGCCGGTGTCGAGAAGCTCAAGAAGGTGCTCTCGGCCAACAACATGGCGCCCATCAACGTCGAGTCCATTATGAATGACATCGATGTGCGCGGCATGCTCAAGCGCGAGGAGCTCGAGGAACTGATCAAGCCGCTCATCGATCGTGCTACCGCGCCCATTGAGCAGGCCCTGGCCGAGGCCAAGCTCACCATCGACGACATCGACTCGATTGAGATGGTCGGTGGATGCACCCGTGTCCCTGCCGTCAAGTCCAAGATCCAGGACTACTTCGGCAAGCCGCTGTCCTTCACTCTCAACCAAGACGAGGCTGTCGCTCGTGGATGCGCCTTCTGCTGCGCCATCCTCTCCCCAGTCTTCCGTGTCCGTGACTTCTCCGTTCACGACATGGTCAACTACCCCATTGAGTTCACATGGGAGAAATCCGAGGACATCCCCGACGAGGAGACGAGCCTCACCGTCTTCAACAAGGGCAACGTCATGCCATCGACCAAGATCTTGACGTTTTACCGAAAACACCCCTTCGACCTCGAGGCCAGGTATGCCAAGCCTGAGCAGCTGCCCGGCAAGACGAACCCCTGGATCGGCCGTTTCTCCGTCAAGGGTGTCAAGGTGGACCCCAAGGGCGACTTTATGATTTGCAAGCTCAAGGCACGTCTCAACGTGCACGGCGTGCTCAACGTCGAGTCTGGATACTACGTGGAGGAGACCGAGGTTGAGGAGCCAATTCCCGAATCTCCAGCCGAAAAGAAAGAGGGTGATGTACGTGCTTTTGAATTTCCTAATGATCTTAGTACCGGCCGGCAAAGCCCAGCAGAGCCTGCCGCGAAACGTCACAAGCTTAGCGATGATCCTGTACTTGCGCATCCTTCTGCTTCTGCGCCTGACCCGAATAAGCTAACAAATCATGTGCAGGCCATGGACGTTGACAAGGACGCACCTCCGGAGCCGCCCAAGATGCGCAAGGTCAAGAAGCAGCTGCGCAAGGGAGACCTGCCCCTGTCCGCCGGCACTGCTTCGCTTGACGAGACGACCAAGCAGACGCAAGCCGAGCGCGAGAACGCCATGATCATGGAGGACAAGCTCGTTGCCGACACGGAAAACGAGAAGAACAACCTTGAGAGCTTCATCTACGAGCTCAAGGACAAGATTCTCGACGTCTACGCCGAGTTTGCCAGCGACGACGAGAAGGCCAGGCTCAACGCCAAGCTTGAGACGATTGAGGTAAGCTCCAGAATTCATCTTACGAACATGGAGTATATGATACTGACAGCAGACACAGGAGTGGCTATACGACGAGGGTGACGATGCCTCCAAGGCGCAATATGTCTCCAAGAAGGAGGACATCCGCGCCATTGCTGGCCCCATTATCCAGCGCTACAACGACAAGATTGAGGGCGAGCGACAAGCCGCTATGGAGAAGCAACAAAAGGAGCACGCGGCCAAGCAGGCCGAGCTTGAACGCGCAAAGCGCGAAGCCGAGGCCAAGAAGCAGGCTGAGGCACCACCGGCGGAAGACACAAAGGATACCGAGATGGCCGATGCCGAGGGCCAAAAGGCTGACGGCGCTGACGAGGCTTCTTAGACGGCGGTATATGCGTAGGCGTATGGGCAAATGGAAAAAAGCATTTGGACGGCGTAGTATACACCTCAGGCTACGTTTCGGAGTGGGAAAGTCTTGGTTCGCCTTTGTTCGATTTTTTTCTGTGATGAGATCATGGTAATGCGATGCTTATGATAGACCAGTCGATAGATGAACGAATATGGGATTTGTCGATGTCTCAAGAAAATGATTGTTGTGGTCGTTTTTATTATCCCGGAAGAGCGTAACATTGCAGCGGTCAGGCGCGCCACGCTCCACATGGCGTGAAAGCCGGGCAATCACAGGCCGACGACAATGAGGGAGCATTAGTGTTGGCAAACATTGCTTCTTCTTCGTTTCTTCTCCTCCTTTCCCTTTTAGCTAGTGATCAACGATTAGCTTCTGGGTTTTATGCAGTCATGTTACAGAGAAAGTGCAGGTCAGGGTGTGGAACTTGCAAGTACGTATTTTTTTGATCTGTTTCGCATTCTACATAGAATGGTGAAGCGGATTTCCTCAAGGTGGTGCAAACATTGATTACCCAACTAACACACAAGCAGAGCACGGAAAGTAAAATGTGACGAGACAAAGCCAGTTTGTTCGCGTTGCCGCTCCACAGGCCGCACATGCGATGGCTACGGTATTCTGGGCGGAGGAGGCAATACATATCTTGAACGATATGGCCGTAGTGCATCATGTCCATCACACAGCAACAGCAACAGCAACAGCAACACGCTTCGCCCACTACCAACTTACCTTTTTTCCCACACCCAAGAACTGCGGTACCTTGAGCTGTATAAGCAGCGTGTCTTATGGACATCATCAGGCTGGTTCGCAGTCGATTTCTGGCATGCCATTGTCCTCCCAGCACTCATGTCTGAGCCTGCTGTCCTGCACGCCGTCATCGCATTGAGCGCGGCGCATCCGTGCAATTTCGACCCTGATCAGACATCAGATGCAAGAGACAGGTTTACCGTGAAGCAGTACAGCAAGGCGATTTGCGCGTTACAGCCTCTCTTGAGGTATGGTGACCGGGCGTCTGTCATGGTCGTGTTGGTTACGTGTCAGGTATTTACGTTTCTGGAGTTTATCCGAGGGAGGTATCGCAGTGCAGAGACGCATTTGAGGAATGGAGTTAGGTTACTGAGGGACATGAGTTGCAACGATGGTGGCAAAGTAACAAGTGCCCTTGACAAAGGCATTGTGAAAAGTTTCAAGGCGCTTATCACGCAGACGAGTCTGTTTGGCATTGCATTCGACGACACCGAACTTTTCCTGTATCCGCTACAAGCAAGCGGAGTATCTTCTGGAGAGGCATTTTCAAGTTCAGAAGAGGCAAAAGATGCGCTTGATGCAATTCTCCGGCACATCATGCTCCTGTCCCAGCGAGCCGAAAAGGACAATGCTACGAGCTCCAAACAGCAATATGACGAACGCTGCTCGGCACAGAAGCACATTTCTGCCGTCCTGGAGTCATGGCATAACAACTATCTCCGAATCATGACCCCAAAGTTCAACAAGGATGCACCCACATGCCCGGAATCAGCGTTGGCATCCTCTCTCCCTTTCGGAACGCACATCCCCCAATCAGCATCCCCCACCTACACCCGTACCCACCTTTCCTACCACCTCCTCCTCATGTACCACACCATGGCACGCCTCCTCAACTTGTCGCTCTCGCCCGACTTTTGCCAAACAAGATATAAAGCATACACAGGTCTGTTCCTCGCCATCCTCACCCACGCCCACACCATCTTTACGGCATACAGACTCGCACAGAGCATCCCTGGAAACGTCAATCTGGATGATTCCGTCAGCGAGTCGGGCTTCATTGCACCGCTGTACTATACGGGCATCAAGTGTCGCGTGGGCCGCGTCAGGCGCTTTGCACAGAGATTGCTCAGAGTGGTGCCGCACAAGGAGGGCATGTGGGATGCGTTTGTTGCGGCCAATGTAGTGGGCAGGGTTATGCAGCTTGAAGAGCCTAGTGTATGCTCAAAGGGGGAAGACGAGCAACATGTTTCGCTGCTCGAGGTTCCGGTTTTGAGCGTACAAGATGAGGAGGGTGTCATTGTCGAGGCATTGTTCCGCAGCGTCAGTGTGCAAATGTGTGGGGACGGCGGGATTGCAGCGCATGTGACGTGTGTGCGGGAACGAAGTGGTGAGGTTGCCGTGTTTATGGTGGATAATACGTAGGCATTGTTGTTTGTGTCGTCGCCGTTCTGGAGGCCTTCATCTCCCTCGACAAGATAGATCAATCAACATGACGTATGGTTAATGTCCACTTTGCCCAGGAATGAACCGATTATTACCCACCCAGAGTCTCACACCAATCATGCACACATGCCGACAAGGTTTCGGTACTCGATTTGGCTGCATGGGGACCCGTGGGCACACATGCGGCTGAGGGATAGACATAGCGTGACGCACTTTCACGCCAGGGTCCGAAATACGCTTAGTAACTTGGTATTGCTCCGTCCGGCCCGCTTGCATCTGGAGCAAATCAATATCCAAAAAAGAAAAAAAAAGAAAACAAGAAAAAGAAGCCATCGACAAAAAGTCAAAAGGGGAGACATGTCTGCATGCTATGCAAATAACTGGACAAAATAATCATGGGGAGATAAGGCGCCATCCACTATACATCAAAAGTTCCTGTCCTCGTTGAGATCCATTTCTCATCTAACCCAGATAGTAAAGTTACACACATTCATCCCAAATGCACACCATATTACGAGCAGATTTACAGCATAAGCTCCAGAGGGTTCTCAATGGCCTTTTTGAGCTCACGCATGAACTCGCCACCAACGGCACCGTCAACAACCTTGTGGTCAAAGCTGCCGGTAATGACAATCTGGTCATCCCACTCAATGCTTGCTGAGCCGTCCTCGGTCGCCTCGCCAGGTACGGCAACCTTCCTTGTAGCGCCAATGGCGACAATGCAGGCCTGCGGGGGGTTGATGACGGCGGTAAATCGTTCCACGGCGGGGTTCATGCCCATGTTGGAAATGGTAATGGTTCCGCCCTGGTACTCGTCGGGCTTGAGCTTGCCGTCGCGTGCGCGCTTGCCAAGGTCCTTGATCTGTGATGAGATGGTCTCGAGGCCAAGGCCGTTGACGTTCTTGACAATGGGCGTCATGAGGCCGACGGGAGTCGAGACGGCGACCGAGACATCGACCGTGTTGTGCTGGCGGATGATGACCTTGCCGCCCTCCTCGCGCCATGACGAGTTGGCCGCGGGGACCTTGCGGGCGGCAATGGCGAGGGCCTTGACGAGCAAGTCGTTGACCGACAGCTTGTAAGCGCCGTTGGCTGACGAGTTGAGGGCCTCGCGCAGCTTGAGAAGCTTGGAGACGGAGATGTTGGAGGCGACAAAGTAGTGGGGGTTTTGCTGCATGCTCTCGGTGAGACGGCTGGCAATGACCTTGCGCATGCTGCTAGCCTCGACGTCGGTGAAGGCACTGCCGGCGGCGGGGGCGGCGCCTGCAGCAGGCTTGTAATTTTCAATGTCCTGCTTGGTGATGGCGCCGCCCTTGCCAGTGCCCTTGATGGAACCAAGTGGGACGCCCTTTTCGAGCGCGAGCTTCTTGACGGCGGGGGAGACGGCGGGCTGGCGCTGGAGGGCCGTCTCGAGGCGGGCACCGGTCGAGTCGGATTCGATGGCGGCGGGGGCGGGCGCCTCCTTGGCGGGGGGAGCGGTCTTGGAGCCGGTGCTGGGGGGCTCGCTGGCTTCCGAAGCCTCGCCCTGCTTGGGCGAGGATGCGGGCTTCTTATCCCCGCCGGCATCGTCGACGGAGAAGCTCTCAAAGGCCGAGACGTCCTCGCCCTCCTCGACCATGACGGCAATGGGCTGTGAGCGGTCAGCACGGGCATGCTACAGCAGGCAGGCAGCCCGGACTTACGCTTCCCACCGCGACGTCCTTCTCGCCCGCGTCGCGGAGGATCTTGGCAATTGTGCCCTCCTCCTGGAACTCAAAGTCCATCTGTGCCTTGTCCGTCTCGATCTCGACGAGCACGTCTCCGGGCGCTATCGAGTCGCCGACCTTCTTCTGCCATGCGCCAATGTTTCCGGAGGTCATGGTGGGCGAGAGGGCGGGCATGCTGATGACGCTGTGGGGCGGGTAGGCTGCAGCAGCAGAGGGTTAGCGGGGGGGCTCGCGGCCGTGGCAGGCGCAGCAGGATGCTCACATTTGGAGGCATAGTAGCGGGCGAGGGCGGCGAGGGCCGGTGTGCGTCTGTACGGGTGCGGGTCAGCCAGCGTCGTCGGCGATGGGCCTGTGTGGCGGGCGTGGCAGCAACCTACGCAGAACATGTGGCCGCGGGCAGGGCGCCGCGCAGGGCAATTGACCCGCGCAGGCTCAATTGGGCTCCCGCCCGGGACAGCAGCGTCGTGGAAGCGGGCATTGTGTCGGGATGCCGGGGCTGCGCTGAGATTTTGCTCTAAGCGACGGCGGGTGGGCGAGCTCTTGGGGTGGCGGGCAGCGAGAGGCAGAGACCGCTCGGGCGCTGGGGAGGTGAGGCTGGGAGGGGGGGAGCAGGCGAGAGCGAGAGCGAGAGCGAGAGCGGACAGGAGATGCAGGATAGATAGACGCTGGATGGGTTGCAGTTGGCTCAACAGAAAAGTTTAGTGCTGGGGCCAGCTGGTTGGAGATCCGTCGGGCGGGTGCTAACTAAGCGTTCTGACCCGATGGGCCTAACGCGAGATTCCGGAACGCCGCTTCCCCTTCCAGCCTGCGCATAATTGGCGCATAGGGGGTAAAGTTTCTTTCCGCGGCTCTAGTTAGACTATATGCTTCTTTTAGTAGGGCGCTAGTATAAGTTAAGAAATAGTATCCTATATAGTGTAATATATAAAAAACCTTATTAATACTAAAAAATACTTTTAGTATAGTATTAAGATATAGTATAACGTGGTTCATAAGCAAGCGGACACCCCAAGCGAGCGGACACCTCCCCACTAGCGCGTTAACGTTTATACTACAACGCGTTATATCTTAACTATATTAGATTTAATAAACTTTTTCTAAAGCTAATATCTAACTTACTATTTTTAATATTAATTTCTAACGTATAAAGAGTGTTAAACGTGCTACTAAGATCTATAGCGTCCCTTAAATAACTTTATTTTATTAACGCGCTAGAAGACACTCTTGAAGCAACTATAAACTAAATTTAAAGCGCTTAAACAAGCTAGAAGAAGAGGCTATTATTAGGCGTATTCTTAAAAAGTCTATAGAAGAATTTACGCCTATAAAGCTTAACGTTTAAGTAATAGCTAATAAACTATTAAAGAAGCGTTGTAGCAACCATATTATTAAAAATTGGTTTAATAACTTTATTAAGTGGACTTTTAAGCTCTATACGCGCTAGAGCTATCCTTATAATTACTAGTAAGCCGCCTATAAGAACTTAGTAGCTATCTAGCGCTAGTTTAACTTGGTTTCAGTAATAAAGTAAAAGTAAAGTATTATAAATAATAATATATATAACTACAATAAAACTAGATTCGAAATAAATAAAATTTTATTATAGTTATTAATTATAGGCTTAGAAGGATATAAAAAAAAGTAGATACAGCTAGGCAACTATAAGTAAGTTACTATAATGTAAGGCGTAGGCGCATTAGGATGCTAGATACTACCTTTTATTATCTTTATCGGCAAGGTGCTTATTAATATTAAGTTTAAGAATTTGCCTACTAACTAGGTTCTTAAAGTTAGTTGTAATAGCTAGACAAATGATTAGCTTAGTCTTGTTTAGTTAGAGCACTTTAATACCTTTACAAAGAGGTATACTATAAGTAGGTATTAACTACTTATTATTAATAGCTATAAGAGCTACTAATCTACTAATTTTTAAGATCTTTATAAGGAGAAGAATGTTATTCTTCTTTATATACCTTTACACATATCCTACCTATTATAGCCCCTTAATATTGTCTGCTTCTTGCTATTAAAGCGTAAGTATAGCAACGCTATTTTAGGCTTAGCATGCAACTACACCTACTATATTGGCAAAAAAACCTTCCTACTAGCCTTTAAGGCTACTTTTAAGTGGTATATTACAAAGGAGAATATCTAAGCTAGCTTTAGAGGTGCTAGTCTAGTCCTATACAACCTATAGGCTGTGCTATCTAAGCTTAATGTAGTAGTGTAGACACCTTATTAAGTACTATAATAGGTAGCTGCCTAGTAGGCGTAGACACCACACAACGCGCGCAAAGCTAAGTCTTAAATCAGTCTTATTTAAAAGAGTATAAGAATACGCTATAGATCTTCTACTAATTTACTTATTAAGTAGATGACGTAGCTAAGTAAAGAGGCCTAGCAAATAGCACATAAAATAACGCTTATATTAGAGGAAATAGGTACACTTTAAGTAGCTCTTAATAAGTTAAATAAGTGTAAAACCTACAAGTAGCGATATATATGTGTAGAAAAGACTCTTACTATAGGCAAAGTATAAAAAGTATTAGCTAAATAAGTAGGTAGTAGTTATAGTAATAGTAAGAGTGCGTTAAAGAGGGTGCAAGGAGAGCGGTAGTGTAGGCGTTATAAGTAGACTAGACATAACGCTTATACCTACATAGTTAAGATAGATAGTGTAAGTAATAATAGCAATTCTAATTATTAATTTGGTATATTGCAATAGTTTATTAACTATAATAAAAGGCTGTAATAACGTGTTAAAGTTAACGCGCTAGTGGGGAGGTGTCTGCTTGTGTAAGAGGCTACGCCTAAAGTGTGTGTGTGATCGAGTATATCTATACGACTACCTAGACTTCAAGAAGCTTGAAGTCTGGTTACTGCCTTTTTGGCAATGGATGGCGTAAGTAGTCGTACGCTCGGCCCGTTGGGCCCGCCCATTACAGCTTGCTGAGGGTGTCTGCTCGCTTATGAACTACGTTATAAATAATTCTATACTATCAATAAAAGTACTAGTAGCTTTTAAAAAATAGAGATTACTTTATTATTCATTATAAAACTTTTTTACCAAATATTAGTAAAATAAAAAAATAATTTTTTTTTAATTATATAAGTTTTACTATAGTATAAGTAGCTTATAGTTTAAGGAAAGAGCTTAGTAATTACAAGCTTTATATACTATAAGCCATGAATTATAAGCTTTGTCTTTCACATTTTTGTTTTTAAGAAATTGGAATATATATCAAAACTTAGCCTATAAAAGTGTACAGTTAGAACAGAGTATTTATTTTATATCAAAACCTTTATAACTTTCAAAAACTTTAGCTTTAAATCGTTATTCTGAGCATATATATAATAAATTTGTTTTTATTTTCGTATACATTTAGTAAGCTGTGTTATATATGTCACTAGAAATCTTAGTTCATTAATATTTAGAAGACAATTTAAATAATAATATTTTATAAAAATTTTTTATGCAAATAAAGTAAGTAAGCTTAGTAAAAGATCAATATAAGATATTTCTTATATGAAGTATATTAAGCACTTTTCAATTGTTTAAAAAATAGTATTCATATATATATCCAATAGAACTAATATAAAAAGAACATTAAAGTAAAAATATTAATAAAGCATTAAATATATAATTAGAGGAAAATATAGTAGGTTAGTATAGAAAATAAGTTTCTTTAAGGGCTAATATAACTATACTTCCTATTAAGAAAAATAGCGAGCATTGTAAAATAATAATAGAAAAAAGATTCATATTATTAGCATTTCTTTCAAGAATATTATAATAAGACTATGATATTTGCTTTTATAAGAAGTACATATTGAAGTAATTTTATATTGATAAAAGAATAAAAGTCTTGAATACAGAGGTTTATAGTATTTGGTTATAAATACTAAGAAAACTAGAAGAAAAAAGAAGATATTACAGAAAAATAAATAGAAAAAGATATCATGAAAAGAGAAATAATATATATAAAATAGCTACGAAGAGAAGAATACTAGCTTAAAGTTGATTAGTAGAGAATTAAAATATATAAAGCTTAGGAAAAGGTGTTTAAGTATTTACGGTTTCACATTGAAGTGGTTTAAAGTTTATTATCTAACTTTGATACATTTTCTTTAGCTTTTTTAGCTTTTATAATATATATATCATAGTAAAAAATGTAAGCTTTTAGTAAAAGCATATTATGATATAAAATATAAGCTTAAGTTTTTTATAAATTATTGAGGCTTTCTTAAAATTAATTAAAAGTGAAAATATATAAAGTTTAAGTATCTATATAGTAAAGGTTATAACCTCACTATAAAACTTCCAAAAAAGCTTATATATATTTTCATTATTCTTCATATCTTTAGTGTAGCTTTGTAATTAATATAAAGAAAGAAAAAATCTACTCTTTCTTTATATAAGAGAAAAGTGCTTAGCTTTGTGAAAAGAAAAGAACTTTAACCTTAGTATTTAGAAAAGTATTATCAACCCATTATCAAGGAAGGTCTTAACTATATAAACAAGTAAGAATTATAGGAATTGAAAGGAAGTATAAATATAAGTAAAAAGCTGAGAAATAATAATATCATTAGATATAAAGTAAAGTAAAGAGTAGCTAAGTTAGTATAGAGATATATAAAATTAAGTTTAAAATATAAAACTAAAAAAGAATTTTAAGTCTAAGAATATTTGAGGTTTTTTATGAAAAAATCAAAAATAAATAAAGAAGGTAAAAGGATAAAATAAAGAGTTAAGGGAGTAGTATAGAATATAAGTAAGAATATAGTGTGATACTTTTAAATAGTAAAATGATAAGCTTTAAACCTTACTAGTATATATAGCCTACATAGCGCTTGAGTAAAAGATAAGTATAAGTAAATAAAGCTAAGATCTCAAAATTTCCTAGCTTACTATAATAAAGAGAAAGTACAAAAAAGAGTTAGAGTAGTGGTATAGAGTATTAGTAAGAAGATAGCGTAAAACTTATAAATACTAAAACAATAAGCTTTAAAGCTTACTAGTATATATAGCTTGTATAGCGCTTTACTAAAATAAAAGCGTAAGTAAATAAAGCTATAATTTTAAGTTTTGTTAACTTTTCATAATAAAATGAAAGTATAAAAATAGCTTTAAGAAAGAGTAGATAGGTATTAGGAAGATTTATTTGAAGATTCTTATTAGTTGAGTATGATTAATAATAACTTATAGTATATTTAGCGCAAGTAGCGATAAAAAAAGCTAAATATATGTTACTAAAATATACTTAAGGATCTTTAGTATATCCTAAGATAAAGTATCTCAACGTTTATATAACTTATAAAGTTTTTCTTTTTATTCACTTACTATAACCAGCAAAGATTTAAGGTTATGATTGTTAATTATATAAAATTGTAATATTCATTTTATATAAGTAAAAGTATTATTCCATACAACTGAGCTCCTAAACGTACTGTTTTATTATTAAACCTATTTAGTTTAACATTTTACTAGCTATAATAGCTATGAAGCTAATATATTATTAGTATATATATAACAATAATTAAGTAATTTAGTAGTTTATGATATACTATATTAAAAAAAGAAGTTTAAAGATTAT